TCTACTCATAATTATGTGGTGGAGAAAATTTATGTTTATACTTAAGGATAAAATAATTAAAAAGTGTAATAACTACACATTTCTACAATTGTGTGTCATTTTAATTGTCAACGTTTATTTTGGGACGGAGGGAGTATTTGTTGATTATTATAATGATATAATAATTATTAATGTTAAAAAAATACATGGGAGCCACAAAAAGGGGTTCTTATACAAATTAGAGGTGTTTGTGATGCGGTTTGGAGCCAACCATAAACCGCACCGCATATGCGGTTTGAGCATTTTCCCAAACCACAAATTGCACCGCATATACCTCAAACCGTATTTTACGGTGCGGTTTGTACCTATCACATTTTACGCCTACAATCCAATAATTATTAAGATTAAAACTTCATTATAAAATTAACAATAACATGACCATAATCCAAAAAGTTCAATTTAGAGAGCGTCGATTGAAATGAAATGAAGGCGACTAATGTTTGAAAATTGAGTTCATGAGTAAGGCATCAATTGTATGTAAAATTGAAATCTTTTGAAACTTGAAATTTGATATTAACATTTAAACTAGGGCAGAAGTCTCAGATTCATGACATAATCGTAGATGTTTGTTTAAAGTTTAAAAGTGCCTAACGGATTAATGGGCTATAATTTATTAATATTACGGATCAAAACCCAAAATTTTAAACTTTTCTATGGGCTAGGGAGAAAAAATGATTAAAAATATTACATAAATTAGTAATATTATATATATATATATATATATGTGTGTGTGTGTGTGTGTTATATAAAATATGCGGTGTGGTTTAAACCGCGGTTTGCTAACTCAAACCGTACCACAGAAGTTCTAAACTAGGTTTTGCGGTCTGGACGATTTGTGTTGTTTGGTGGTTTAGATGAACACTCCTAATACGAATTACCGTTGTTGAGTTTATATGTGAGTTCTTGATTTAATGAGTTAAAAATAACATGGTAAAAAGATAGAACCAGAAAGAGTTTAAGTATCCACATCATTGAGTTATTCTACAAGAATTTTGTTTCTTTATCTACTTTATGTGAATTAATATTTTATTAGTTTTTTTATTTTTTGACTTCTATATAATAATTATAAATGCTTAAACAAATACAAGGATCCAAAAAAGGAGTTCTTGTAAGAACTATCTTTGTAAATTTTATGTAGGATTTTAACTTTGCAAGTTCTTAGAGCATTTGTAGTACTAAGGGGTCGTTTACTTAAATGTTTATCGGGTAAACGTTTGTCGTTAAAAAGTCAACATAGTACATCAAAATGGTATCGTATGCAACAATTTACTTGGTAAGCACTTACCCGGGTAAGAGTCGTTACCCTCACTTACCAAGTAAAACTCTTCATCTTTATCATTGTTCTTATCGGGTAAGAGTTTTGACCCTTGCCATGTTCATTCGGTAAGTAAAGTTACCCGGTAAGCACTTCCCGGTTAAACATTTAGTAAACGGCCTCTAAGTTTCTTCGCCAACTCATCACCATGAAAACCGGTCCAACATTTTTCAAACCATTAGGGATAGAGATTTTTGTCCACAAGGAAGGGAAATGTTCCTCCAAAGGAAGAGATAGGGGTGTATAAAAAACTGTCATCCTGCAAAACATGTCCAACCCAACTCAACCCGCTAACAACCAATTAAATCTAAGCGGCCAAACCGTCCATGGGTTGGGCCTAGCTCAACCTGCCAACCCGTCACTAATATATAATTTTTATAAAATTATATATATATATATATATATATATATATGTTTATTATGTATATATATATATATATATATTAATAATGTATAAATTTTATATAATTTTTATTGATATTATGTTTTATTTCATTTTAACTAAACGTATAGGTTACCAAAAGAGATTCACGATCAATTAATTAGGAAAATTATTGAAATCTTTTTCGCATCAACAACAAATTGATATGTTGAAGAATATGAATGATATTGATAGATATCTGGTTGATGAATCCATCAATCTAAATACCCCTCATTTTATGTTGTACTTTAGTGGAAAAAAGATGTTTAGATATAGCATTTCGCTACAACAACATTAGATTTTATAGGATGCCTAAAATGTCTAAGCGTCCTAATATGATAATCTATAGCACAAAAGAAGAAAATTGTCTATCTAAAAGAGTTACAATATGTTTATAAGATGATTTTGTGCGTCTTAGCAAATTCTACGACGCTTTTAAAACAAAGTGTCGTGTTAGTTATTTTCGACACGACTTGAAAAAGTATCATATGAACATATGTGTCCTATAAATAGATGAGTTTACGGGACACTTCTCAAAATGTTTCTATAAAACAACTAATACGAAATTTTATTTAAAGATCATTCTAAAACATTTGTTGAAACGTCCAAAAACACCCTATAAACATATTGTAATTTTTTTATATAGGACGTTTTGTAGTATAGTCTATAAACTTAAGTTTTATGAATTATTTCATTCGTCAAATTTATGTAACTACTAACCCGCCACCCGCAATGGTGGGCTTGGGTTGGGTTGTAACTTTCAATAGGTTGGATTGAGTTGAATTTTTTTTCAAACCATCATAATTAGATTGAGTTGTAAAAATGTTTTAAATCGTCCAACCCAACCCGTATACACCCCCTAGCATGAGGTGGATACTCTTCATTTATGGACCCCATTTCATCCTCCTCTCTCTCCAATTTCGCTCTTCTTTTCTTTTTCTTGTAAATCTGATTTTATGTATCAAATAATAATATTTAAAATTGTTAATTAGTAAAACATATCTATAACAAATTTCATTATAAATATTAATCTTTTATTTCATTATTTTTTACACCCCCTCTTTCATATATATTCTCATGTAATATAAACTATAGACCGGTCCACGATTGAGAGTAAAAGGTTTATAAAATACGTAAGAAAGAGAAAATTGATATGACAGAGAGAGAAAAACTCACATGATAAAGTTATAAACCTCTATTAAGATTTATTTATGATTATAAATGTTTCTATAAGAATCTCTACTGGATATGCTTTCGCTCGCTATGACATGCGCTATAACTCTCCACCCATCTCTTGACACAATTAACCACAAGTCTTACCGACAACTGTTACTCTATGTGCATCTACGAACTCCTATATGAGATAATGCTTCTAAAAATTTCAAAATCTGACATGCTCGATCTCAGTTGTTCGTCCTTCGACTTTCTCGACCTGATCCTCCTCAGACCCTCGATTATGATTTGGACCCGCAATGGTAGAACCTGGTGAACCGGACTCTTTCTGTCTTCTACCGGTGCCGATATCGGTCTCATACTAACGTGTCCAAACACTGCTTTGTTTTGTCACAAAGTTTGGATGTTACAAATTATTAAGATGAAAAGAAGGAAAAAAAATCAAAATTTACCTAAAAAGGGTGAGTCGTTGCGTAGGTTTGTTGAATGTCGGAGATGATCGACACGGAAAGGCGAGCGTATATTTCTTCTTCCGCCATTTTGGATCCAATCCATATCCGATGACCGACGACTGTTGATCGTCATCTCCGGCAACTGAAAGAGCAATATCGATCGTCTTTTTTCAAACCAAATTTTGGTTTACTAATCTATAGTCAAGACTCTCACTTCATTCATACTTCGTACTCTTCCATCGAGATCTAAACTCATCCTGTGCTTAGTAAATCTAAGGAACCTCATTGCTCCCGATTCCGTAAGTATCCGCAAATCCATTTATGTTTGTTGAATTAACTGCTGCTTTCTCGTCGTTTTTACGCAGAGATCGGATTGTACTTCTTTTTGCTATTTTGTATGTTCATTATCAGAAGCTATGCTATGATGTTTTGGTTATTAGGAATATATTATTGCGCATTTCGGACTTCAATTTTGGTGCCTGAACGTGGAAATTAGAACCTAGGAGAAGAAGGTTGCGGCTGCTAGACTGAAAATTTGAAGTGATAGTTTGATTTTATAAGAATTTAGAGAATTATGAGTATCGGCCGCTGTAGAAATTTCAACGAACATGTAATATTGCAGTCTTACTTGCAGTTTTAGGGCAGACAGAGGGAAACAAATTAAAAACTAATATTGTCCAAGTCCTGTAAAATTCTAATTTTGAAAGACAAACCTATTACTTTTCAAGTTCAGGTCTAATATGCTTTCAGGTAACTACGGTTGTTAATTTTCTTTGAGAATTGAATTGGTAAATAGAATATCAAATAGAAGTTGATGGTTTAGATTATTGTCGGTTATAGGGAGTATATCTGTAGCTTGGAGACATCTCTGTATGCTGATTCTAGAAGCTTCCGTGACAAACTACCTTTCCATCTAAAGAGGTCAGTCTTTTGGACATGTGATTTTGCTCCAGAGTGAAGTGTATTCATTCTGGTCTAATAGGAGGAATTAGTGAATTAGGGCCTGCCATGATACTAGCAGGGTGCAATTTTTACATGTACCATGACTGATAAATATAGTTGAGGGCTGCCTTCAGGTGATGTGGTAGGAACCGGTTTCAGTTGGCTTGATTTGAATCTGCAGTGCACCGATTCAGATTTGGCTTCTTGACTCGGTTTGGTCGATTAGGGTTTGGTGTAGATGGGTCCTCATTCTTGTATAAGTTGGTCATGACTCATGGATGACTTAGAATGATGATGATTGGTGAAACTCTGCTGGTTGCATCATGCTATCTCTGTATATCCCCTTTCAATCTAATGGAGATTTTACCATTTCACAAAGAAAAAACAAGAACTTAAGTGGGTACGGTGTCCAATTTTGCCTTTAACTTTCCGTTTATAAACGATACGTTCAGCCTTATGATTAATTATGCAACATCAAGCAAACGAAACCTACAAGATTTAATGTGCCCAAACCAGTAGGACCCCAGTCTGTGTATACAGTTCAGTCATATATGATAACTGTTTTTGTCACCTATAATGTAATTCCGACTTAGTTCTGTGTTCTTAGGTTGGCAGTTCAATACAAGGCTAGCTAATTACATTCTGGTTTTGGCAGGTCAATCTATGTATCTGATTGTCGATGTCAATGCTCTTGCACATACAATGCATTGAAACATGAAGAATTTTCATCTTGTAAGTTTTGTCATGTTGCGTGAAGGTGAGATGTAAGTCTCTGTACGTATTTTGATGGCATATTACTTGTCCTAAAACTTTTAAATCTCTATAAACATGGTGTTTAGTGGAATCGCGGAAGTTTTTTCCTCTATTACTAGTCATTCCTCAGCTCCTAAATCATCGACTGGTTCATATGCATCATCTGAATTGCCGCCTCTAAGCGGTCCTGTTCGTGGTTTCGCATTTCCTGGCTCTAGACGGAAGAATAATTTGAGACTCTCCTCATCGCTCCAAGATTTCTCTGTGTATAGTCAACTTGATCCAGAGGAAGGCAATGTTAACCTTGGCATTGAGAGGATTTCAAATGATCCTACCCAGCTTCATTTGTTAAGAGAAAATGGCGGGACTAGTTTTTCAAAGGAGAAATCACCACCACGGCCTACTGCACGAAGAAAGTGGGTGCGAGCAGTCGCATTTCTCGTCGGCTTGCTGTTGTTTGCTTCTATTATCTACGCGTTGCAACTTCTATATTCTAATTGGTCTAAACAATCTGCCAGATTCTTTGTTGTACTCGATTGTGGTAGCACTGGAACACGGGTTTTTGTATATCAGGCATCCGTCAAGCACCAAAAAGATGGAAATCTTCCAATCTTGTTGAAATCAATACCAGAGGATCCTCATAGTAGGCCTACTTCTGAGAGTGGCCGAGCTTACAACCGTAAAGAGACTGAGCCTGGGTTTGACAAGCTGGTACATAATGTATCTGGCTTGAGCCAAGCAATAAACCCCCTTCTTGGCTGGGCTGAAAAGCAGATCCCTAAGCACGCACACAAGACTACCTCGCTGTTCCTTTATGCTACAGCTGGTGTTCGCAGGTTACCTACTTCTGACTCAGACTGGCTTTTAAATACTGCTTGGTCTATTATGAAGAATTCATCCTTCATGTGCCAAAGAGAGTGGGTTAAAATCATCAGTGGCACAGATGAAGCATATTATGGATGGATAGCTTTAAACTATCATACTCATATGCTTGGGGCTCGACCGAAGAAAGAAACATATGGTGCACTTGACTTGGGGGGCTCATCGCTGCAAGTTACATTTGAGGGCAAAGATTACGCCAACAATGAGACTAGCTTAAACTTGAGCATTGGTCCTGTGGTCCATCATTTAAATGGCTATTCGCTGGCAGGTTATGGTCTTAATGATGCTTTTGATAAATCTGTAGTTCACCTCCTAAAGATGAGTCCCCAAACTACTAGAACAGATATAATTGAAGGAAAAGCAGTCATAAGACATCCTTGCTTGCAGTCTGGGTACAAAGAGCAGTACATTTGCTCCCAGTGCCGGAACGCATTTCAAGACGACCAAAAAAAATTGGGCGCTGAAGGAAAAACAGGAATCCCGGTCCAGTTGATTGGTGCTCCAAAATGGGAAGAATGCAGTGCAGTAGCAAAAATCACGGTCAATTCATCAGAATGGTCAGATAAAAGTCCAGCAATCGATTGTGATTTGCAGCCGTGTGCTCTTCAAGACAACCTGCCTCAGCCATATGGACAGTTTTACGCCATGTCTGGATTTTATGTGGTTTATCGGTTTTTCAACTTGAGTGCTGATGCTCCACTCGACAATGTTTTGGAGAAGGGTCGGCAGTTTTGTGAAAAATCATGGGATGTTGCCAAGAACAGTGTTCCACCCCAGCCATTTATAGAGCAGTATTGCTTCAGAGCACCATATATTGTGTTACTATTGAGGGAAGGGTTGCATATAGAAGACAGTCAAGTTAATATTGGTTCTGGAGGTATTACTTGGACTACTGGGGTTGCCCTGTTGGAAGCTGTGAAAGCAACTTCAACTGGAGGGGGGTTTGATGATTACAAATTATTCGAAATTAAGTTTCACCCGCTTTCTCTTTCTGCAATTTTGTTAGTTTCCTTGTGTCTTGTAGCCTGTGCGTTATCACGTCTTGATAATTGCATATCACGGTACTTTCGTAGGATGAATCTACCCTTTTTCAGGCACAGAAACACCTCAGGGACTTCTGTTCTCAATATATCAAGTCCTTTCAATTATCGGCGCTGGAGTCCCATCATTTCAGGTACATTCGAGTACAATTTCTTGCATATGTTTTCACTAATCTCCGATTAATATATACATACCTAGAGGGAAGGTTAAAATGAGAGTTGTAAATATTTTGAGAACTAGAAACCAATTATTCATGCATAATTCTTGATAAAAAATATTTATTCATAAATGAATATAGTATTCACAATAAAAATTCATGATATTTTTTATGAATAACATTCATAATTATTTAAGACTATTCCTTATGAATAATATATGAAATAGTTGGTTCTCAGTTCTCAAAACTTCTATATTTCTCATTTGAACTTCCCCTTGATGCCTATATGTGGGCGTACACACATATATACAGTATATATAGAGAGAGATAGAGAGGTTTAAATAAGAACAATAATTGAATAAGAGAACACAAAAATGATCAAATCATGGATGATTTTACATTAATGATCGATGCAACGGTGTGCTGGCAACGTGGCCGCAACCACATGTTGCAGCCAGCCAAAGTCATGTGAATCATATGTGATTTTTAGTGTAAAAATCACATGTGATTCGAATGTTTCTTTATTTTTTTTGTTTAGTTATTGTTCTCGTATAAACCTGACACACACTCTCTCTATATATATGTATGTATAAAACGGACTGAAGAACAGTTTGAACTTTGAAAGTTGAAGGTGCTTGAAATACCTTATATTGTAATCTTAATTATCGCAAAGACAATATAAGTAATTATCAGCTCACATTACCTAAATCATAGGATGGTGGTGTAGTTTGTAACCTGCATGTACCTGTGCGTGCACAATCATGTGATGAGATCACAAGCGTGTCAACGTTATATATAAATCCATCCTAATTTCTAAATGTCATTTTAATTATGCTATCATGATTCATTATGACGTCACCAGTTCATGGACCATGCAGATGGCTCGTATAGCCGTTAAGAGCCTGATAGCTAGAGTCGTGTCGACTATTTTAGAGCAAAGAAAAACGGTATAAAATAAGGGGCTGTTTGGTAGTTGCTGAATGATTTGATGCAGAATGATTAAGAGACTCTCACGATATAGTATAAAATGAAATATAATTATTTGGTAATTATTTACAACAAAATTAGGGTGTTGAATGGTTAAAGGAGACCCATGATATAAAATCATTCAGAATGTTTTAGTATCATTAAAAGACAAACTTTTTTTTGTCAAACAAGATTCACCTCTTAACGGAACTATTAAGAGGTAAACAAACAACACCTAATAAAATGTCTACACTCTTATCCTTCATATCACATTATATGTTTTTACTTGCCTTTCTTGTTTTCTCTCTGTTGCCTACTTTTTATCAGTCTTGGTTCGTCTTTTCTTTTTGCTCACACTTATGCCACGTTGAGTATCTTTTCTTTTTGCTCACACTTCTGCCAAGTTGAGGGTCTTCATGAAAGGTATTTCAAGCACCTTATACTTTTGCCAAGACGAGGGTTTGTTTTCTCGATTATACTTTTGAATTGGGTTGGTTTGGTTTTTTAGTTGCCTCAATCGTATCCGCAGCTTCGTGTTCTTCATTTTTTAAAGTATGTTGTGATGATTATACGGGTTGTTACGAGTTCTTGTGTTTTATGGTTTGTCAGGAGAGGGAAGAATGAAGACACCCCTTAGTCCAGTGGCACATACCCAAAGCAGAGCATTCAATTTGCCACTCTACCCATCATCATCTGGGAGCAATGGCAATGGCAATAGCAATAGCAATAGCAATAGCATGAAGCATAGTATTTCTTCAAGTAGCTTGCAATTATTCGACACTAGTAGCACCTTCTACCCTTCCCATCCCCACAGAGGTCAAATGCGCCTTCAAAGCAGGCAGCGATCACAATCTAGAGAAGACCTCAACTCTTATTCGCTTCCAGACACACATTTGTCGCCAAAGGTTTAAGGTACATATCATCATATTCTTAATCAGGATCTGAAATCCCTCGACAGCAAAGATTTTTATGGCAAAGAGACCTACGGATTGGCAATATTCGGCCTCCTTCGTCTGGGAAGGTGGTGGTCTGATTCTTTAGCTGAACCACAAGAATTTATACAATCAATACATAGTTGTCAGGTAGAACAAGGACTTTCAGATGTAAACCTTCCCAGAATATATTATATGTGATTCTTTTACCCTCCACCTCCAGCCAAGATTTGTTATTTGGCATGTTTACTCTATCATAAGAAATGTTACATGCCAATGGATTCATTTTACTTGTAATACAAAACATGATGTTATGTCAATGTCCCGAATTTTTTGTTAAATCTTTATAAGATACGTCAACAAAATAAAATAAAGAAAAAGTGTCGACAATGGCTATAGAAGCTTTAAAACGTGCCTCAAAGAGGGTATCATGCAACTTGCATCAATATCCATTTAAGCCTAAATGTTTAACAGCCTTTAAAGCATTTGCTGGCAAAGTGATGAACTTCAATTGCTTAACATACATATTCTTACCACACTAATTAACATCAAAACCCTAAGAAAAAATAGACATAAAAAATGTTTTGACATTAATATAGAACATCAAAGCATTCTACAATTTGATTCATGTTTTTCCTACAGTCAAAAAGGTTCTTTGATTAGATTAGTCCCACATCAAAAAAATATCCACATTCCATTTCCAGCATTATGGGCTAGCTTCACTAGTCACATATTCCCACCCAGAAACAACATGCCAGTTTGGAAGATACAGACTCAACAAATGACCTGTCTAAAGCTCTGTTTTCTGGGATTCGTTATCGTTGCTCTTTCCAGTGAAAATCCAACTAAATATTTCAATTAACTTACTCATAAATGGCTTGCTTTGCTGTTGCAATTTGGCATTGCATAGGTGATCGTAGCTGTGCTTCAAGTGTGCAGCACCTATTTTTTCCTGGAGGGAGAAAGCATAGGAAGAAAAAAACAATTTAACCTTATAAAACAGAAATAACAAGCCAAAGAAAAGGAATTAGAAAATAAGTACCTTAAAAACTTCAAAGGGACAGAAATCAGTAGCCCCACATCCCTGTTTACAAAGGTAGAAAAGATATATAGTATCAAAGAGAGAACGCAAACTAAAATATAGGTACAATGACGAACCTTTAGAAAGAGAATTAGAGAGAAGTTTAGAAATTTAATCAGCATTTGGAACCATTTTAGCCTTCAAAAGAATCATTGTAGTTGCAAAAATCCAACAATAGAACCTAAACAAAGAACTTGAACATCCCCAAGTTTTGCAAAAACCACCATTTTTTTCCAGGGCATTGTTCTTTGGTATTTCTGCAGGTACAATTGGTTTTTTTTAAACAATTTATCCTAAACAAACTGTCGTGGTTACAAAGGTTGATCACCGATCAAGAAATTTAAACATGATTCAAAGGAAAAGCTTACAGCCATTGGGATCGGTTTTTCATTGTGTAGTACTTGCACAAAGAATTTGCTCGTGTTATTTGCTGAACAGCTGTATAAAACTAAAACATTATTCCCACCAAAAGGTGCCACCGTGCTGCCCCTCCAAGTTCTTTTCTGGGGAGGTTTTGGGGGGAATTTCAAGGGCTCTTCTCTTTGAATTTGGTCAAACTCTGAATGCAATAGCAAATAATGAATTATTAAGATGAATGTAGCAAATGTAGATTAAATAATGAGGTAAAGCTTAATCCATTTGATAGTAGAGGATAACAGTGGAAAACACTAACCAGATCCTTCAAGAAAGAGTCCAATCAAACATGAAAAAGGGACCAACGTCTCTGCATGAGCAAACCGTAACCTTGCCTTTTCATAACTCCCAGGTGCATGTCCTTCTGAAAATGATAGGCAAACAACATAAAAGTTGTGCTCATTGGAAAAAATGTGTCCTATATCATAAATTTATTGTCCATCTTTCTTTTGTTTTTATGAATTGGCGAAATGTGTTATTTAGAGACCATGGGATTGGAAGAGGAACACCAGGACTAGAGACCACAAATAATCTGTACATCAATATCTTTGCAGACAATGTAATTACTAAAAAAATGAAACAACCAGGATAGGGCTTAAAAGAATAAACCAACATATTTGTGATGTTTGCATGTTGATAATATAATTGCACTTCATTTCATATTAAAGTACTTGCTTCTAAATCATTAATGGTTGCATATAAATATCTCTCTCTCTCTCTCGTCATCTCTGATTCTCCGGAACTTACATGCAGTGCTGGCATGAAGATAAGGGTGAAGCAAAATGATGATATCATAGATGGAGAACTAATACTCCCTTAGTCCCAAAAAAGGTTCACTTACAATTCTTAAAAGTTCGATCATTTTACTTTTCAAACCAAATATGAAAAGAATATATATAAAGGTGTTTAATACAAGGGCCTCCTTCTCATAGCACTTCTTCAAAGTTTAATGTATTAGTGAACTTCCCCTCTAAACTACAAGCATTGATGCTGATGTCAATTTGAAAGCTAAATATTCACATATGACATTCAAAATAGAATATGAATTTTTTTCAGGCAGAGAAATATGACAAAATTACCTTCTTTTGCTGTAATGGCCTGCTCCATGGACAAAATGACATCCTCCAGCAATGGAACTCCCATTCGATAATTTAGTGAATTACCGTAACCCTTTAATATGAACATCTCCAGGTCATCTGTCCACTCTAATAATTTTACCTACATAGGCACATGTTTCATCAGCATTTTAAATATATAGGATTTGACAAAAATAACATTCATAATACTGAAGATTTCTCCTGGAAATATAATAATGAATGTACACATTCAGATTATGTTTTTCATAGAGATAATTAATCTTGTGATCATAAAAAGTACAGATGTACCTCATCATTACTGAAAAGATCACAAGCCTGATTAGTTACATTCAACAAGGATGCTTCCTGCAATTTGAGTACAAGACAACATTTGTTAAATAATTGAAATAAATGACTTCAACCACTTGAGACCCAGTACACAGTTATTACCTGCTTGCACAAAAACCAAAGTGTGGAAGTATCCTTTATTGTGAGATTAAGCTCATAACGCGCTGCTAATGAACGGGTAATTTCATCTAATACAGGTTCTTTAAGCTTATGAACAGAAGGTTCCTGATTTTTTCTAAAAGCCTGCACCCAAAGAAAAGCAATTAGGAACAGTCTTTTAAAGCTGCACTAGGCAATTCTGAAGGTCAACGAAGTCTTAGATTCATTGAAACCTGCTTTACTGTTCTTAAGGACTACATTTTGATAGGATCAATCATAATAGAAACTTGATTTCACCATCATATTATACATTTATGTGAACCAAATATTCAGTACTTCCACATAAACTTACAGCACAGGTTTCATATGTCTCAAAAGCAGCATATGGAAAGAGAAACATTAAAGATGACTTCCTGTGGTTAATTAGCAAATTGGGAAGCTATGATATATCATTTGTCTAAACAAGTTTTTAAACCATTCTTAATGCACATGTACTCTCCCAAGGATCATGATCCATGATATTCAAACAAACCACCCTCAATTGAACGCCAAACCCTGAATTTTTACCTATTCGATTTCCCTACCATAAAAGAGAAACATCCCTTACTCCCAACCATACCCACTCATTATAACTGCATATGTTTTTGTCTTACTTCTAATTTTGAAGCAAGATGCAAGTCAGAATTTAATACTTCTGCAATATGTTAAATCTTTATGAGACTAACAATCAGAATTGGGTGTCACCCTAATCCACTCACCTACCTCATTCATTGTGAAATAATGCCCTTGAAGTCCAAGGTAAACACATTCCATTGGTAATAAGCAAGAGCTTATGAGAAGCAATAAGAGATGTCTGAAGCTTAATAATGTACCTTGTAGTTCTGACAACAATCATGAAATCTCAACATTATATCACTTGCGCGGCTTTCACTCAGAACTGCAAAAGCTCGATGCCTTCCTGGTCCAAGATTTCCTCTGCCACTAAACATGCCCATTCCAAATGCCACAGCACTAGCTGATGCCCGCGGAATCTATTTCATCCACGGGAAAAAGCGGTAAAGCTGTCAACTTTTAGAGCAAGAAGAACCAAATCTATGGTTGCAAGTAGTTGATCTAATATCACCAGCTTCCATCAATTAGAAGACTGGTTTCTATGCTTGAAAACCAAACATAACAAAAGCAAGGAAAGAAAAAGGATATTTGTAAAAACAGTTGCACACATTTAAAACAGACTAGTGATCATGTGTCTCTTAATTTTGACATGGAGTGAGAAGCAAGAAGCTTCAAACAAGAATACAATATATTAAAGATAAAACGAGTTCAGAATCTTATATGGCTATAGATCAAGAAAGCGAACCTGAGTTGCCCTTATCAGATATACGTCCGGGTGATATTCATCACTAAACAGTTCCTGGAACCGTTCCCTGACTCTGCTTCCAAGATGATACATTTCATCTTCTCCTAGGCTTATTAGTTCACCACCTTTGATTTTCCCCTTCCATGGAGAACTCCATTCCCGTAACCAGGAAGGAAGTTTCTCCAAAGAAGACCCTCTTTCTTTTGCGCTTTGCATAATATCTTTAAGTCTTGTTGACAAAGTTTCCAAGTCTTTCATCCTTTTCTTAGTAGGTGCACGTGTTCCATGTCTTGCCTGCAATATCAACACTTTCAGTAGTGAAAAGCTTCAGAGACAAGGTTACTTTGATGTGACAATCCTCCAAACAAGGAAGCGCCGCACAGAATACAAAGGTACTGAAAGTAAATTAAATTGGCAGAGCTGCAGATGCCTGACTCCTCGAGTCTATTGATGAAATTAATCATCAAATATGAACCTTGCATCAAAGCTATACCAGCTGCACACAATGATCATTGCAATGGAAATCACATGAGAAACATAACGGGTTACAGTCATATTGACTCCTGCCAAACATATGGAGTCTACATTTGTTATTGGCAAATCAACCTCAATGTCCAAGCAAAGGGATTCACACAATGCTTGTAAAAGTATCAACATATATGTCATATAAAAGGTTGAACGAAATATGATTATCTCACTTCTATTGTTTAAGTATTATTAATCATGGCTTATTGCTGATGATTAATTGTACAAAATGTACCACGGACAACAAACTGTAAGGCATTAAGCTATATCAGCAACAAACTAGATATGGGAAATACCACGAGATTTAGGTGGATAGGAGAACATTTATCAGGAATGTTTGAAGAAACAAACGCATTATCTTTGATGTGTTTTGAGGCCTCGTATCTGCAAAATGAAACATAAACCACTCCCTACGTTACATATCAAGCATTTCATGCAAGGGGTTTTTCAGAAACACCGACTGAGCACAAAAACAACATGAACATATGTTAAATCAAACGAAATGTAACGTGGGGCTTGTGCATTGAATTCAGAACATATGATCCATTTTCCCCCTTAATCAACTAGGGTGCATGAGTGCGTCTCCTAGCTAGACCATGTTGGAAGATCTTGTTTTAATAACATTCCAGTCTCATCCTCCAGTAGATATCTTTAATCCTTTTTATGACTTAACTCATTCAAATCCAAAATTATTTTCTTTCAATCAAATTCCATCGGTTACTCCCAGTTTAGAAACTACCAAAAAGTTCTTACAAGATCATTACCCTAATTGAATCCGAATACCGGCAAGCAAGTAAGATCGAACCTATCGACATCGCTTTCACGTATAAAAGCAAACGTATCTGTCTTATTCAATTTTCGTACACTTGTTCGTTAATTCGCAAAAACAAAAATCACTCCTTCAACGTAAACAAAGGAAAAACCTAAATCATCTGAGAGGATCAAGAGTTCACCTTGTTACGGTGGACAGGTGTTGACGAACGTCAAACGTTTCTTCAGCGGTTGAACTAAATTGAACACAATACAAAACCAGTAGCATGAAACCTATCGTCACCGGTTTCGCCATTTTCACACACACGTCGGGATTCGCCGGAAAGATAAAGATTGAAGTCTAGGACAAAGGAACGAAATGGAGTGAGTTCTTTACGCGCTGTTATAAATTTGACATGGTGTTCCGCGGTACAGGTTAAGTAAAATGTTCCACCACCGATCTAGACGATGATGGTAATCGTACAGTCAGTTGGAGACGCGTGGTAACTAGGCTCTTTAGAACCCGAAAAGATATTTAAAAATATTAATAAGCGTGGGTCTATTTTTAAACATTGAAACAAATCCAATTCCAACTTTACGTTAATTTTTTGAGTAAACTACAAATTTGGTCCCTGAAGTTTTGGTGGTTGTCACACTTTCCCTCTCTATAGTCTCAAGATTGTAAATTAATCATTGTGGCTTGTAAAAACGACTGAATTTGGTCATTCTGTCTAATGACCGTTAAAAAGGCTTGTTAAGTAAGGGACATTATAGTCTTTTCTTATTTTTCTCTTATTTTAAAACAAATAATTAATTAGTATGTTTATACTAATTTATATAATACAATATTTAGTATCTATATACCTAATAAATAAGTAACTTGGATGACACGTGTCATTTTCTGGTGAGTCGTTATCTTATTTTCCTGTCTAAACATGTATCTAGACATAATTTACATTAATGATTCAATTAGACTCATTTGAATGTATCTAGACACAATTTACATTAACAATTCAATTATATTCATTTGATTGACATGTATCATCTTATTCAATCAATCCTACTAATTTATGATGCAATTGATTTTATTCATTGGTTAATTAATTCGTATGGTAACTGATTTCCGGAAAAAATGGTGTTTAATTATAAGTTTAAATTCAATTTACTGATATATTTTCTTTTTCCAAATTTAATTTAATTCTAGTGTTAACTTCATTTTAAATAATTATTGACTAGAAGGGTGCTCGCACAATGCAACAAGATACATCTCGATTTTAGTGTTTCTTTTTCTTTTTGTCTTAATCTATGTTATAATACGGTTTTATGTGGTTTTGAAAAAATGATAATGTTTTTATTTTTGAATTAAATACAAATATGAATATATCATAAAAAATTTAAAAAAATATTGATACTAGTATCAGGCTAACTATTTAAATTTTCTCATTTTTTTGTGTATTTCTTTAATTCATTTTTTTATTTTTGGTTTAATAATATTTTTTTTTATAAAGATAATAATTAAGTATTTTGTTATAACTTAATGATTATCCTAATTATATTTTAATTTTTTAATATTTAAAATGAGATGTTTATCCTGCATTTGATTATGTTTATCTGAAGTTAGTTACACGAATTCAAACATCCAGCTTTAATAAGTTGTACTTACGCACAATTTACTTGTAATATTGAATTTTAAGTAATATGCATCAATAAACAGAACTTCATGCATAAAAAATGGTGTTTAAGAGTTTTTGTCAAATGTTTTATAATATACTATAGATATAGTTTCATTTCTAAATTCAAGTCTGAAGAGTTATACTTCAGAGTTATTTTAAGAGTACACGTCTAAAGTGGCATCGTACTTTCGATGATCATTCATATATGTAAGATAAGTTCCTGACATGATTTAATTTTTTCAAATTACCTCGTGTAATACACGGGATCGAACCTAGCATATATATATATATATATATATATATATATATATATAACCGATAACACACAATGAGAGATCGGCCAAATCGGAACACCTCCCGACTCATTTTTCAGGCGAATTTTTACATGGCCTCCTTCCAAGATCTCCGACGAACCAGCGCCCCTCATTTCACCGTTGGTCACTATCTTTGGTTCCCCTTTCTTTTTCGATGAACACCTACAATTTCTTATATTTTCTTCTTCGGTGACAAATCAAGTCCTTCCCCATCTAAATCACTCGATTTCTCCAGGTTTGGATGTTAGATTTCTACAAGATCTCACAGTTGGACTTTTGAAGGTTTACTAAAGGGTCATTTATCAAATTGCTTAGCTGGATAAGTGCTTACCAGGTTACATTACCTTACCGGGTAAATATGGCAAGGATCAAGAATCTTACCCGCTAAGAGCAAGACAATGACCAAGAGTTTTATCCGGTAGGTGAAGGCAATAGCTTTTACCATGATTAACGCTTACCGGGTAAATTGTTGCATATGATGTCATTTTTGTTGACTAAATCTTACCCGGTTTGTAAGTAATAGTGTTGAATTTTGTCAGTAAGTGTTTACCACATAAGTATTTAGTAAATGACCCTAAATGTGATTCGATCTCTTATGGTACATTGATTTGGAATTTTGGGTATTTTTTCTCAAGGTTTGTTCATGTGGTTTAGGGTTAAGAAGTTAAGATCGATGGAGTTTAGGATTATGCTTTCCTTTCTTTTATTTTTATATGTATTCCCTATTTAAAGGGGTCTTTGGTTCTTAATAGCATCAAGCCTAAATTTTGTTCTCGAAATACTAAAGTTATCATTATGAGTTTTAAGTTTGTACTTTTTGATGGTGGGACCTGGCAAACAATGGTTGGAACTGGAGACTGGTGGGTGTGTATTTGTCACTTGTGGAAATGGACCTCTTTTCGATGTGTACTTAAAAATCAAAATCAACATTAAAGGGAATGGGGGTGGTTTCTTAGCTGGAGAAGGGATCAAGGGACTACCAGTAATTTGTGGGGTATATGGGGAGGATGAAGTGTTTGAAGGGTTCACCGGAGTGTCTTCATCCAAGCTGTTGAGTTGAAGTAAACAGGAAGAAGGGGTGCACGGTTGTGATTGTGGTCGTTTTGTGCAACATGGAAGAAGGGATGAAAGGGGCGTTGGCGTGGTTCACTGGAAAAAGGTAGATGGCAGTGGTGTGAGGAGCAATTATAGTTGGGGGAGGAGATCCAATTGTTTTTTGGGGCGTTTCCAATTCTCTGTAAAAATGTACAATGTATAACTAAAAGAATAATAAAAATAACAATAATAAGTTATACATTTTTAAAGGAAAATGTCGTAAAAATGGAAAAAGACCAAACTACTCTTCACTTAATGAGTTCTTTTAACCGTCACTAAAGGAAGGGACCAAATCCGGCCGTTTTTACAAACGACAAGCCATTTTGTAATGTTAAAACTATAGGGATGAAAAGTGTTATAGCCATCAAACCACGGGGACCAAATTTGTAGTCTACTCTAATTTATTTTAATATTATAACAATGATAGAATAGTATATTTGTTTATTAAAGTTTAATAATTATTATATATAATTAACCTATAATTTAATGAATAACTATTACTTGATTTTTTAAAATAATAAAACAGCGTTAAAAGTCAAAATGAAACAAATTTCTAATTATTTAAATACAATTTAAAAAACACTAATAAATGTGTTAAAAATTAAGCATTATATGTGGAGTAAATTACGATTTTCATTCTTATATTTTTGATAGTCAAACATTTATTAAAAAAAAATAAGTTGTATTATCTATATTATATTATAAGACATTTGATAAAAACTCTTAAAAATCATTTTTTATATACGAAGTACTATTTATTGATGCATATTACTTAAAATTTAAGATTATATGTAAATTATGCATAAATATAACTTATTAAAGCTTCATATTTGAATTCGTGTAACTAACTACAGATTAATATAATCAAATATTGGATAAACATCTTATTTTAAATATAAAAAATCTAAAATATAATTAAGATAATCATTGATTTCTAACAAAATACTTTATTATTATCTTTATAAAAAATTATATTATTAAACCTAAATTAAATTTCTTTGTTACTAAACTAAACTTAAATTAAATTATAATTAAAAAATTTGAATAAAAGAAATTACACCAAAATACAAAACTTTTAGAAAGGTAATTTGATACTGATATCGATATATATTTTTTCAAAATTTTATAATATTTTCAAATTTATATTTTATTTACAAATAAAAACATTATCGTTTTTTCAAAATCACATAAAACCATATTATATCGACATAAAAAGGCATAAAATGAAATACTAAAATCAAGATATATCTCGATGCATTACACGAATACCCTTCTAATATTTATCAAACAATGTCACCACATATATAAAAACTAGAGTAAGGGGATGTTTACTTGCTTCATCCTTATGTTTTGTTAATAATTATATTTTTGTCCCTCTAGTTTAGAAATTACAATTTCCATTCTTATGTTTTACTATTTATTATTATTTTTGTCCCTAGATTAATTGTCTACCTTCAAGTACAAGGGGACAAAATAATAAAGAATTATAAATTATAAGGACCAAAAAACAATAAGTTCTAAACCTTAAGTAGAAAAATGACAATGAATTATAAGCTACATGGACAAAAACCATAATTTCAAAACGAAAATCACAATTTTTTTTATTAACCTGGATATCTAACCCGCTATGCGAGTCGATTAATCCCAGGACGACCACCTATTTTGCAGATATCCTGGAGTCATCGCATTTGAACCTCCGTGGCCACAAGGGGATTTTTATTTGATATATAAAAACGAAATCTTTCACCTTCAAACACAGAGGTTAAAATAAATTTGATGCCCTCCATTCTTTTATTATAATCATAAATTGAAGGAGAATTTCTTTTAACCAACCGGCTCGATTGAAAATCAACCGTTTTAAGATGATTAAGTGTCTCCATGAATATATCTATTTTGTGACTGTAATAAAAAACTGACGTATACATAAGCACATGTTATATACGATAAAAGTAGAAGGTGATCGTTGGTGGGTCCGCCACCTTCGTTGCTTTCACTACTAACTGAAATTTTATGTAATTAACAACCAAAATAAATAAATAAATAAATCTTGAGAAAACGTAATTCATTGCCATACCAATCAAAACCAGATGCCAATAAAATTATATCAAATAGCAAATATAAAAATTTCAGTTGATTATTTCAATAACATTTTATTGTATATCATAATAAAACGATGATATGTTACTTATCGACTTATTCTGGTGTGACACTGGTAATAAACAGTTTTGAGTGTTTGGATAAACAACTTATATCGATGTCAAGCCGATAATAAGGAGTTTTTAAATTCTGACTTATAATAAGTTGATAATTACTTTTATAAAAAAACATAAGTTGTTTCAAATAAGCAATCTCAAACACCTCTAAAGTCGAGAATGAAAACCGAAGGTTTTAAACCACAGGGACATTTTTGTAATTTATTAAAAAACTTATTTATTTTCAGATGATGGGAAAAACAGAGTGAGGGAGGGGGAGAATCAGAATTCCAGTCTGCCGGGAAAAGAGGGGGATTGAAGCTTGACTTCGCCCAACGGAGATCCGAAACAGTTGTTAGGGTTTTGGCTGTTTCAGATATGCCAATCCTTCTTATTTTTGCTTTTATGCGGAGCTGCACAACCCAAGAGCATAGTTTGGATCCTCAGCAAACAATCACAATATGGTTCGTAATACTCCATTTCAATCTGTTTTCTACATTTAACTTGTTTCCGATCACATACCAACGGGAATCGGATAGAACAAGAGTTTGTAAGCTCTGTATAATCGTTTGATGAATCTTAGAATGATGCTCCATTGTTGTTGTTTCATCGAGACAGTGAAATGTTGCAGGAGAGTGATCCTAATTCCGTGTGCTGTAATCTGTAGAGATAGCTAGTGAATTTAGGCATATTTTCAATTTTGAAATATGCATATATATATATATGTGAAAATTAAGAGAAATGATTTGTTATGATCCAAATATTTATGAAAAACGATTAGAGTGATTCATCATGATCAACGCTTTAGGTGGGAAACAATCGAGATATTTATAAAACAAGATATTCATTAGACTAGATGGACGATTGAGATTATTTTGTATGGCTTGTACTACTGATATACGTATGTACATAGGTATGGATTTAGTTATGCAAATATACTGAAACTACTGTCTATATGATGTAAAAGGCAAGAGGACTGAAGAAGCACATGAAACGGCTCAATGCCCCCAAACATTGGATGCTTGACAAACTTGGAGGAGCATTTGTAAGCTCTTGTTTCTCCTGGACTCCTTTCTTGGTTGATATATTATTTGTAGTTTAATATATTTCTTCACTTTATGGATGATTATTGAATAGGCTCCCAAGCCATCATCTGGGCCTCACAAATCCAGGGAGTGCCTGCCTCTGATTCTGATCTTGCGGAACAGATTGAAATATGCCCTTGACTATCGTGAGGTCAATGCAATTTTAATGCAAAGGCATGTTCTTGTGGATGGGAAGGTCAGGACTGATAAGGCATATCCTGCAGGATTCATGGGTACTACATCCTTTGACTCTTAAGCTTTGCAAGTCAATGTTGGCTGTTGATAAGCAGGCCATTGTGCTTTTAGGCTATGTTTGCCAAACCAGCTGATGAGCTAGTCTTAAGGTGAAAAACTAGTTGTTGGCTAATAAGCTACATGTTTGCCAATAAGCTAGCTCATAAACTAGTAATGTTTGGTAATACTAGTTGATAAGGGGCATATTGAAAATTTAATACAAAGGACATGCTGATATTTTAATTGGAAAAATATAAGGGGCATAATTGGAAAAAAAGAAGCGGAAAAAAAACCCATGGAACTTATTGCAATGTTATTAAAATTAGCTTTCTGAAAGGATAGCTTATCAGCTAGCTTATGGCCAACTAAACACGACAATTTCAATAAGCTCAAAGAATTCATTATACCATATATATATATAAGATCCATGTATATAAATATCACCATCTAAAAATCCACATTTTTCCAAACCTAGAAAACAGACGGAATTCTAGGATCCCTCCTCGAGGCTAAGCTAGTTTGTGGTTGCCAAACATGGCATTACTCATTTGTGTGGATTACTATGCTTATGTCTTGTATATTCTGAATGTGCCAAGACCATGAGACTGGGAAGTTCTCACAATTTTAATGTTTCATCTACTTTAGAAACTTCTCCATGTTTACTTTGCTAATATATGATTGTTTCCTGAAATTGTGTAGGAAGTAAGATTACAGCTTCGTTCTTGTTATAATGTTTGTGTATATTTCAAGTTTCCTACTGTAATATGCAGATGTTGTTTCCATCCCCAAAACAAATGAGAACTTCCGTCTACTTTATGACACCAAAGGCCGTTTCCGTCTTCACTCAATTAGGGACGAAGAAGCAAAGGTTAGTTTTTATGAAAAATATTGTTCTCTATTGCAATTTCTATTCAAAATCACCAAAATCAAACACAATGTTTTTATAGGAAATATATGGCTATCAGTAAAAGATTCAAAGGGTCCATAAACAAATGGTAGAATGTTATAGACCAAACATGTTTTAAACATTTTTTGTATTCATTGCTTGTGTATCAAAACTTTTCAATAGAAGGAAGTGTTGCCCTAATAACATAGGATTATGTAGTATGTACCTAAGATTCAGCTTCTGATTTCTAGGTGCCATTTGATACATGCTTATTCGCATAAGCATTTCATACTTAGCCGAGTACTCCTTTTGTCCCATGTAATTTGGAGGTTTACCCTGTTGAGATGTCAGAAAATTACAAACCCTCTGTTCCCAGTTCTCCTGTAGTTGTTGAACATTGTAATCTTCTTATGAAGTATATAATGTTTTAATTTTTTTTGTACGGAAAAACACACACGCACTCCTCACTTTTGGTGGTGATTGAACCCTTGACCTCCAAGGAGGTTGGGATCTACTGATAACTTGGGTACCTCCGTGCCAATGACCCTTTTGATAACATCGTAATTTTCACTGGATGGAGAAAGTAACCGTTGGTGTAGGCGTGTAGCAATATCACATGTCAAATTTGCTTCCCACAAGTTGGTATTTTGGGGTGGGGGTGCAAAGCACAGAGCTAGAATTTACAGACAGAAACAGAAACAGTTTCCTTTTCTGGGTTTTCAGTCGTTCCATCTTCTTGGCCTGCAGTTCAAGCTATGCAAAGTTCGATCTGTGCAGTTTGGGCATAAAGGGATACCATACCTGAATACCTATGATGGCCGCACCATCCGCTATCCAGATCCACTCATCAAGGCTAACTACACCATCAAGTATGATCTTGAGTCCAACAAGATCGTTGATTTCATCAAATTTGATGTCGGAAATGTGGTTATGGTGACGGGTGGAAGGAATAGGGGGCGAGTGGGAATCATTAAGAACAAGGAGAAGCATAAGGGTAGTTTTGAGATCATCCACATCCAGGATGCAACGGGTCAGGAGTTCGCGACTCGTGTGGGTTATGTGTTTACCCTTGGCAAGGGTACAAAATCGTGGGTAACCCTTCCAAAGGGCAAGGGTATCAAGTTATCCATCATCGAAGAGGCTAGGAAGAGACGAGCCATGCAAGCAGCAAATGCCGTCTAGATTCGGTCTCCTTGGAGTTATATGCTATTTTCGTCGGTTAAACGAGTTTTAATAAGGGATTAGTTAACTTTCGAGTCGGTTTATTTGGTTTGGTTTTAAGTTTTGTGGTATTTCTAAGATAAATTCAGTAGCAGCATGGTGAGAGGCCATGTACTGGCTATCTTATTGTGACTTCCTTTCTTTTTTCTATGTACAGTGTTTTGATATATGGCATATATTATATAATTTTAAAATAAAGATTGTTATCGGAGCAAATTGCATTTGTTTAATACCTATTTTGAGTAACATGGTTTTGAGTAACATGGTTTCACTAAGAGTAGTGTCTGATTGGTTTGAGCTCGACTCTAAAAGTCAATAATACCAGGAGGTCTCAGGTTTAAATCCAAGGAGGAATAAAAACCCCTTGTGGCCGCGGAGGTTCAAATGCGGTGACTCCGGACTATCTGCAAAGTAGGTGGTTGTCCTAGGATTAGTCGGCTCGCATAACGGGTTGAATATCCAGGTTAATCAAAAAAAAAAAAAATATATATATATATATATATTATAGAGGAGCGTTCAAATAAAAACTTGTCCCATTTGTGTAACCCGTGTAAACCAATTTCATCCATCTATTTTCTTGATCAATGGTTAAGATTAGTTTACTTTATTTTAGGAAATTAAAAAATAAAAAATATTAAAATTTTATTTTATTTCAATACTAAGGGCAAAATTGGTAAACAAAAATAAACCATTTTATAATGAAACTTTTTTCACATTATAACAGTTTCATGAACATTAATTTCATAAAGAACAAAATATAATATGCATCCGTTTCATCATACATTTATTTCATAAAGAACAAAATACATTATGCACTGTTTCATTTTCATCCTACCAACTAAACGGATCAACTTCAATCACAAAGCAACATGGATCACCATGAAACTAGATCATGAATCATGAATCAATTAGAGTATCAACATTTTCACCATCATGAACCTATTTCATTAATATGTAAAATATGCCTAGAAGAAGCAAATAAACCATTTTACAATGAAACATTTTCACATTGAAATAGTTTCATGAACATTAGGGGTGAACAAAAAACCGTCAACCCGCGAAACCCGCCCGACCCAAAACGCTAACAACCCGATTAAACCCAACCCGCTAAACCGCCAAACCGCTAATTAGAAGGGTTGAAATTGGGTTGGCATAACGTAACCCAACCCAACCCGCCAACCCGCCAACCCGCCGCTAATGTATATTTTTTTATAAAATTATGTATATATATATATATATATATATATATATATGTGTGTGATATTTACAAAAATTAAGAAGGTGTTTCATGTTAGCCCAAGTACAAACAGGCCTCTTTTGACTTAAATGTTATGTGTTACTTGTTAGCCCAATACAAACACTCAAACAGGCCAATAGGTAACAGCCCAACAAAAATAGGAAATAGCAATTAGATTTAGAAATTAACTCAAAACAACCCTACCGTCTCCTTCTCCTACAGTCCTATGTCCCTTGCTTGAGTTGCTTCATTGCTAATTTGCTATTTGCTTGCTTAAGGTTCCACATCACCTACCGACGCTACCGTCTCCTTCTCCTAAATCTAATCCCTCCATCGCCCGTCTCCCTCCGTCGCCATCTCCCTACGTCGCCGTCACCGTCCGTCGCCGTCTCCCTTCGTCGCCACCGTACTCGCAGCAAGTAACAACTAAACAGAAATCGTAAGGAACCTTCTTTTTCACGCATGCTTAGCTATTAATTTAATTGTCAGTACTTAGTTTAATTGTGTGTGTATTTCTGTTGGTTTATTGATTTATTTTGTTGCCTATTTTGAGGGTTAATTTTCTGAAAATGTTATCTTAATTGACTATATATAGGAACAATGGAAGATATTCCTAAATCTCCAAAAATCGAAGACAATGATGAACTAAACTCGTCTAAGAAAAGGGGTGGTAAAACTTCAAACCTTTGGGATCACTTTTCAAAAAAGGACTCTAGATGTTTTTATAATTATTGTGGAAAAGACTATGCTTACCATAGTAAGAAAATTGGTACAAGTTCTTTGTGGAATCACCTAAGGAACCAATGTAAGAAATATTTGGATAGTTTTAGCGATAAAAAACAAAAATTGCTTAACTTTCCTACTATCAATGAAAATGAGGTGTCATTTAATAAAGAGAGATGTTGCAAAGCCGTGGCTATGTTTGTGCTTAAGGATGAACAACCCTTTAGTGTTGTAGAAGGTGAAGGATTTAGGGAACTTGTTCATGAGTTGCAACCAAAATTTGGTATTCCTAGTAGAATGACTGTTGCTAGAGATGTTTATAAGTTGTTTTGCAATGAGAGGATTAAATTGAAGAAAGAGTTGACAAATGTCGGTCAAAGAATATGTTTAACAACTGATTGTTGGACATCTTCCACACAAATGTCTTATATATGTCTCACTGCACATTACATTGATAGTAATTGGCATTTACGGAAAAGAATTATAAACTTTTGTCAGATTTCAAATCATAAGGGTGAGACAATTGGTAAGGTTATTGAAGCTTGTTTGCTTGGGTGGGGGATTGAGAATGTTTTTAGTATTACGGTTGATAATGCATCTGCAAATGATGTAGCTGTTGCTTTTTAGAAGAAGGGTTAATGCATGGAATGGATCTGTTCTTAATGGTGAGTACATGCATTTAAGATGTAATGCTCACATAGTAAACCTAATTGTAAACGAKGGGTTGAAAGAKATGCATAATTCAATTACTGCAATTCGTAACTGTGTTAGATATATTCGTTCATCTCCTTCAAGGTTGCAAAAGTTTAAATCTTGCGTTGAGAAAGAAAAAGTTGATTACACGGGGTGGTTAGTTTTAGATGTTCCAACAAGATGAAATTCTACTTTCATGATGTTGAATGTAGCTCTTAAATTTGAAAAGGCATTTGAAAGCTACGCGGATGAAGATGACAAGTTCATTGAACATGGATGATTTTTTTCCTCCAACATCAAATCAAGATTTCATTCCATAAGAAGCTAAAATCTTCATACCACGTTTCCAAATTCATTGAATAACAAAAAATTAAAATCAAGTTTTTAATATTATAATATAATAAAATTTTTAAATGTTACCATTTATATAATTTCCATTATTAAATTTTCTTATTTAATATTTATTAATAACTTCCTTATTTATAAAAAAATGGAAAATTACCGAAATACCCTTATTGATTAAATTTAATTAAAAAAAATAGAATTTTTCTATTGGTCGAAATTGATTTACACGGTTTCTTAGAATTGCATGGTTTTCATTTAAACCTACCCCTATATATATATATATATATATATATATATATATAATAAGGGAGTAGTCTATTTTGAGGAACATATTTCATAACCTGAAATACTAAAGGGTTTTTCTAGCCCCCACCCCCTCCTATGGGGTGCATGTGAGGGGGGTGAGATTGGGTAGAAAGGTGAGTATGTGAGAGTGAGAGTGAGGGAAAGCTGTGAAGGTGAGAGTGAGAGTTGGTGTGAGGAGGAGGGGGTGAAAAGTGATGTAAAGGGTGGGGATATCAACCCCCATACTAAAATATATATATTTCAAACTATAGGGTCTGTAAATATGTCTTTTCAAAGTATATTTTCTAAAATAGAAACAAATGAAAACTAATTTTTTTTTTATTAATCTGGATATCCAATATGTTATGTGAGCCGACTAATCCCAGAACGACCACCTGCTTTGCAGATAATCTGGAGTCATCGCATTTGAACCTCCGTGGCCATAAGGGAATTTTTATTCCTCCTTAAATTTGAACCTGAAACCTCCAAGTACTTTTAACCTTTGGAGTCGAGCTCAAATCAATCAGACACCACCCTTGTTAATCGACAGACCAAAGATAATCATCGTTTTTACATCAAGATGGGATACTATCAATAAATTAACTTAAAAAACCATTACATGAGTGAAAATTTTGCGTATCTCTATATTATATTATAAAACATTTGAGAAAAACTCATAAAAACCATTTTTATGCATAAAATACTGTATATYGATGCATATTACTTAAAATTCAAGACTACAAATAATTATACATAAATACAACTTGTTAAAGTTTGATGTTTGAATTCGTATGATTAATTGTGGAAAAACATAATCAAATAGAGGATAAACATCTCATTTTAAAATATAAAAAATCTAAAATATAACTAGGATAATTATCTATATCTAACAAAATAATTAATTATTACCTTTATAAGAAAATTATGTTATCAAATCAAATAGTAATTATTATAAAAAATTGAATTAAAAAATTACACAAAAAATGAGAAATTTTAAATAGTTAATTTGATACTAATATCGATATATTTTTGTCAAATTTCTATAATATCTTCAAATTTATATTTTATTAAAAAAAACATCATCGTTTTTTCAAAATCACATAAGACCATATTATAACATCGACTGAGATAAAGAATAAAACAAAATATTAAAATCAAGATGTATCTCGCTGCATTACGCAAGTACCCTTTTAGTATGAACTAATAGATTTGTAAAAGAGGTGTTAACATCAATATCTCAAATTAAGTTTTCAATATTAACCAATATTGGTTTTCTTGTCAATATCTCAGATATTTTGCATACTGCTTTCAAGAGGATGTACTTGCTTTTCTTGTATTTATTTTTATTTTCTTAAATCTTGTATGAAGGTGACCCCCAGCCATATATATATTTGATGGTCCTAACCCCACCTGTAACAGGGCTAATTGACCATGCAATGGCTATGAGCCATAACCCATCTTCCTGGCTCTTAAAGATTCGACCAAAACCCAGCAACACCATCATCTAAATGAGTCCCGGTTTTCTTCATAACACGAAACACAAAATCGAACCCACAAGATTTCACATACCTCTTATAGTAAGTTTCATACGACCACTAGCATAACAAAAGGCTCCAACACACAAAAAGTTACCGACGATAACATCACCACACATCCTAAGCTTACAACTAGAAGACATGGAAACAAGAACACTTTCCTCCATCAAGCAGCAGCACCTTCATCTCAGAAGCATCTGATCAAAGTGCCAAACACCTGAGATTTGAATAAAGTTACTATTTTTAGCAACCATGATGCATATGGTCTTATTTGACAGAATGCCAAACACTTCAATTTTGAGTATAGTTTTTAGCAATTAAGCTCAGATTAAGAATCATAAAGAGAAACGAGAATCTGAACGACAATTTTACCATGCCCTTTGCCGACTCTTCGTAGTTGAGCAACATACTCGGATATCTTTTTGATGGCTTCCACCTTTTGTTACAGTAAAATTGACATCAATATCACAATTTATCATATTACGAATGCCTCAGTTGAATGCGAAAACTTATAAAGCGAAAACTGATCGTCACCTGTTCCCCCAGAAACCCGCTTTCTACAAAATCGGTTAATTGTACATCATGATTCCTGGTGGCTACCTGTTTTCATCTCATTGGCAAATCAGAAACTTGAATTTATGCTTAAATTATGAGCTGGTAATCAAGACTTTTGTTTACTACTCCCTTCATCCCAAAAACAAGTGTCCAAATTCTTATTTTAGTTTGTACCAAATAAGTGTCAACTTCTAAAAGTGCATGTCTACTTTCCCATTTTATCTTTAATTATGAGATGGACAAAATTTCTCTCCATTATTAAGGGTACAATTGCCCTCTACTTCATTAATGAAGTGTAATAATTACACACTCCCAAAACCCTATGCCATTTTCATTGTAGACATTTATTTTAAGACCGAGGTAGTACTAAACAATCACAAATTAAGTATGTGATACCTCGCGAAGGTTTAGAAGTTTCTCGTTCGTCAACTTCTCCAACGACAATGCAAGCTCCATGGCTAGGATCAAAACCAGTAAAAAACGTCGTTAACTGTCTAACCATCTTAAAGCAGTTGAACAATTGATCTATACTTAAATGAGAGAGTAGATGCATATAGAAATGTAAAAGCCGGCTGATAACTACACATTAAGCGCTTCAAAAGAGCTTTACTTTACGACATCAGTCCCAAAACAGAGTCCATTTTTTCATCTTTAAGCATCAAAGGGATTCCTTTGTAACTTCAAAATCAATGAAAATAATTTGATTATGAAGAAAAGATCAATAAACATCATCATCATAACCCACTTAAAACACATACAAAACTTACCATACAAAGCATCTCCTTTCTCTTCATGATCAAACTCGGACAAGGGCATCAAAATCGACTGTAACTTCACTTTCCCACCTCGCTTGTTCTGAAGATAAAAAAAAAATTCATCACTTTGATTTATAACTCAGAAAGCACGAACCACCAGTTTTCAAACAAGTAGCAAAGAAAAGCTAAAGATTGTTGGCAAATGATCAAACACCTGGTACTCCATGAATATCTCGGCATGCTCCCTTTCCTCTTCACTAGCCTCTTTAAAGAACCTATAAAGTTTCATGTATCATAAATGAATAAACCAAATCAAAAGCACTTTCCACTTCATTATCATGAGAAATATTATTCATCCCTTCCCTTCCTCCGGATGGGATATGTTTGGATAAATGGGTGTTGTTGTTTTTTTTTTTTTTTTTTATCTGTCTGATTTAGTTTTGTATACGAATAAGATACTTACTTGGCTAAACCCTTGAGAGCAACATTGTCCCTATCAAAGTAGGCATACATAGCATGGTATACATAGGAAACATTGTACTCAACACTGAAAGGAGACATAAAAAATGGTCAGAGACAAGAACAAGATCACAACCAAAACGACAGCACATATGATGACATGCATATATCAAATACAATTTTCAATCCCAATCAAATCAAACAAAAAGAAAATATATAGAAAAACCTTTACATCTATCAAACTCCAAGAGTCCTAGTCTAACAAAACAACTCATCTAAAGGTATCTTCAGTGATGTCTAATGAAGAATTTATAACTAGATCTCCTTGTTGGGAAATTGGGTTCCAAATGAAGTTCTGCTCGTAATTTTATCATCCACATGATGGGCAAATAGGTTTGGCATTAGTTCTCTTAGAACTTTTATCATACACATGATGGGCAGTTACGCTTCCTGCTAAATTCGAGTTTTCAGACCGAATTCCATAGACAAAAGAGAGAGTAACAGTAAAGAATCACTGCGAAATCAAGAAATCGCCAGTTATTTGATATAGAGACATATAACGCTATCATGCTCTCATATAGAAATAATATTTATACGAAATAAAGAAAATAAAAACAGACAGTAAAAGCAGAAATATGAAAACGAACAAACTTTCAAGAAAAGGAAAAAAAAAGAGAGAGAGAGAACCCACTTGATCTGTTCGTTAATAGAAGCTTCAGATTCGTCGGCATATTTTTGGCGAGCAATAGACTGTTGAGGAACGGAAGGAACAAGATTGAGCTCCTTCTTCACCTCCTCAAATGGTTCAAACACAACCCCAGCAATTGGCCGATGGTTCGAAGAACCACCTTTCGCCGCCGCACAAACGATAGCCGACGGCTTGGAAACAGAAGAAGGTGAGAACATAGAACGGCCGGAATTGTCATCGACGGTGGCTCCTCTCAGAAAAGAGAGGGTGGGAGGGGTTCTGAGAAGCATAATTTCTAGAAAATACGAGTAGAAGAACAGGGGAAATGAAATGAAGTGGGTGTGTGATGCGATGGGAAGAAGAAGATGAATGAATGCATATATAAGCAGTGAGTGTGAATGGTGAGCCGCAGGATGAGGTGAAACGTGGACGGACAAGATTTGACAGAGTTGAGTGGCGCGTGGTCGGCTTGTGGCATATCTGGATATTTGCAAGAATCCAATGATTTATTGCCATGATTGAGATTCCACCCCATAATTTACAGCTTTCTCAGATTGGATTGACTACCAAACTGGATAATATTTCCTTTCTTTTCATTATATTTTTATTTTATTATACTACTTTATAAACTAAATTTCCTAAAAATTTTAAAAATAATTTTTAAAATATAAGTACTGTATATTTATATACAAAGTCTTAAAAATAACTCATAATATATTAAATACTACTATTTTATGTATTTTATCTTAAAATCTCTTAATCTATAATTAAAATAACATATAGTACAATTTATCAATGCATATTATTATTATTATTTTTTCTATGTTCCCAAGATACTTTTAACATATTTCACTCATTTCTTCACCCTCTCATACCTCTATGTCTTCTTCACATCCCCATGGTGAGATTTAAACTGATATTCACCACGATTTAATAAAAGTGATCTCATTCAATTGTTCTAGAACTCTCGGTCTCGCTCTCGATCTCTTGATTCTTTGCTCTTGGTGTAAATCGAACAGATTTGTGGAGTCGTTTAAATATGTTGGATTTTAAACTGTCATACAGTTTTTTTCATCGATAGACTGTAGTTGGAACCATAACTCTTATTTATTCAAATTGTATTAATATGTAAACATCAAGTGTAATTTATATCATCGTTAAATCTTTTCTAATAAAACTAGAGAAACTTCAAAACCGTTAAAATTCACGGCTCCCGCCGCATTGCATGGGTATACAACTAGTATTATTAAAAGTAAAATTGTCATTTAGCTACTAAAAACTATAATAAATTATACATTGTTAAATTGTGTCTTTTTTATTGTGAACATTTATTTTGGGATAGAAGTGGTATATCATATAAATCAGTTACAATCTAAAATTTTGTTGATTACATTCTTTACTTAGGGGCCGTTTACCAAATACTTACCCGGTAAGTGTTTATTTGTAAAATTTTACACTATCATTTTCTTACCGGGTAAGATTTTAGTTCACTAAAATGACTTCATATGCAATAATTTATCTGGTAAGCGCTTACTGTGGTAAGAGTCGTCGTCCTCACTTACCGGGTAAGACTCTTGGTCCTTGTTTCGCTCTTACCCGAGTAAGATTCTTGGTCCTTATCATATTCATCCGCTAAGGTAATGTGACTTGATAAGCGCTTATCCGGGTAAGAGTTTGGTAAACGGCCCCTTAGTCTTAACGTATTTTTGGTTTTGATTCCTAAAATTAATAAAGTAACGATCCTCATTTCATGTTTTGTTACTCAAAAGTCGTTTTTGAATCAAACCCTAAAATCAAGTGAATCATTTGCATTTACTTTTTTGTTGGGGTTAGGGTTCATAAATGGAGATAAAAGATTTGCATATGGGAGATGAACATCTGCATCAAATAAAAGAACCTCACATCGAAAAAACCCTCAACCACCCCTTTGGCTTCAAATGGAATAAACCCTTAAGAATTTATCGAGAATCGTCTTAGGGGCATTTACCTAAATACCTACCCTATAAGTGCTTAATATTAGAAATCTAACACTATAATTTATTTTATCGAGTAAGATTGTAGTACATCAAAACCTATCATATACAACAATTTACCTGGTAAGCGTTTATCCGGGTAAGATCCATCACCCTCACTTACCGGATAAGATTCTCCATTCTTATCATCGCTTTTACCGGGTAAGATTATTGGCCTTTGCTATATTCATCCGGTGAGGAAAATTACCGGATAAACGTTTAGTAAACGACCCCTTAAATATGCTACCGAAACAATATTGTTGAAGCAGGAAAATGGCTTTCAAAGTCCATATTTTTAATGAGTTTTGATTGTGTTGGTTCGTCGGAAAGAAGCAAAAGGGAAGGGGAGGTGGTGCAGTTAATGGAAGGGGGCTCCTTATATGTGATTATTATTACTTTATTATCATTATAATATTAATTTACTTTTATTTAAAAAAAAAAACTAGATTAAAAATAAGAAAAGGTATAAAAAGACCAAAATGTCCCTCATGTGTGGGTTACATGACTGACTTAATAGAGTTTTTTGTAACAATGTTAACTCGAGGTACTAACTTGATATTGAAACGTGAAATAAGAATCATTTGTGTACTTTATGAATTTTTAAGAACCACGACCAAAGAACGGCCATGGAAAATGACCAAGAATGTGATTCACTCTTAAAAATTCCCTTGTGGCCAAAACTTCTGTCGCTCCATCCCCGCAGGGGCAGAGAACCCGTCAACGCATCTTCACAGACCAAGAACTACATTCGGTTATTGGGGAAAATCAATATACTTCTAATGTCGAATTCTAGAGCTACTCGATTAGCTATGGCACCGGGTGCATTTAGAGGTTCAAATGCGGTGACTCCAGACTACCCGCAGAACAAATGGTCACCCTGTAATTAGTCAGTTTACATAACAAGTTAGACATCCATATTAATAAAAAAAAGTTAGATTATAACAAAAAAGGGGTAAATTTTTGTAGAATATTTGAACTTATTTTTTTGAGCCTATAAAATATGACAACGTGAAATTAGGCGAAATTTTCTATGGGGTCAAAACACGATCGATATACATTTATATGGAAAAAAATTTGGTGAAAATTCATGTAGAAAACAATACAACGTAGTGGCAACTTTATTTTAGAACTCATGAAATTATGATAATTTATTAATTTTGAAAACTTGTGTATCATGTGTTATTTTATATGATTTTTTTCCATCTAATACTATAATTTAAAATATTGATTAACATACATTTCTTTCATAATGTATTTGTTTGACATGTATTCGGTTTAGAATTGAACACTTTTGACGTGTTTGTGAAATAAAAAAATACACGTAAGAGAGTTTCATAATGTGAACCGAATACATATGAAATAAACATATTTTGAAAAAAAATATATATGTTAATCAAGACATTAGATACTATATTTAGACAGAAAAAGATCATGTGAAACAAAGCATTGAGGTAGAAGTTTTCACGGATTTCACAAATTTTGGAGTTCTCAAATGATTAAGCTCTTACAATGTGTATATCAATTTACAATTATCCAACATTTTCATCCCTATTTTTTTTTAAAGATTTCATAATAAAAATATGAAATCCTATTATAGTTGGTGGAGACTGATTTCTAAATGGATGGCTATGTTGGGCAAACTAGTTAGTAAGCTACCTGTTAGTTGATAATTTAGCTGATTAATCAACTATTTTTGACAAAAACTAACTGATAAGTTAAGTGAAAAATGTAGAATGATCAAAAAAGGCATATTTAAAAATTAATAAATGTTAACATTTCATAATATATTTAAAATAATTCATTAATAATATAATATATTGATTAATACGAACTAGATGACAAATAAAATTAAATA